GAAAGTTCCATATTTTTCTACAGGGATATAGAATGGAATCTGAAAGCATATTGAAATGTCAGTTTAGTTCTATTCATTTCTATACTTTCATGGGGATTATCTCTAAACACATCCTTTATAATTCTACCGGGGACAAAAAATCCCAATGAGAGCATAATCCCACGTGGTACAGGATCCTAATGGGGAACGAGATTCAACAGTAAACTAGAACCCAACGGGAACATGAACCCATTAGGCAACGGAATCTCACGGGGGAACGGAGTTCTACCAGACAGGGCACCAGGATCAGGATACCGACGGGATCGGGAACCCATCAGTATCGGGATCACACCGGTCACCGGATCCCGACGGCACCGGCATTCCACCGAGATCAGGACCCCATCGGGATCAGGATACTGACGGGATCGGGATCCCACCGGAATCCTGATCCCATCGGGAAATGAGATCCCATCGGGATTTGGGTGCAAAGGGATCGGGATCCCACCGGAAAACGGGATCCCACCAGGCTCGGGATCCCACTATGATCGGGATACCGACGGGACCAGGAAGCCACAGGGATCAATATCTCCCCGGGAAATGGGATCCCACAGAGATAAAATCAGGGATCGGGATCAAATTAGGTTTGCGATACCAACGGGCCTGTGATCCCGCCCGGATCAGGTTTTCGCCGGGTAACGAGGTCCCACCGGGATCGGGGATCCCATCGAGAAACGAAAGGTTTACAAAAGTTATTATAAAAGTGTTTTTATAGGAGATAAATTATTGCTTTCTTTTCTATAAAAGTGTTGTTTTTTTTTGTTGTTTTTTTTGCATGGTGCTTATTTTCAATGGTAATTTAAAGGCTGTATTTAAAGGCTGTATTTAAAGGCTGTATTTAAAGGCTGTATTTAAAGGCTGTATTTAAAGGCTGTATTTAAAGGCTGTATTTAAAGGCTGTATTTAAAGGCTGTATTTAAAGGCTGTAGAAGTTTTTTCCGAATGCTGTCCCGGGGACGCCGTATAGCTAGAATATATATATGTATGTTTTTTTGTGTGTGTATATATATATATATATATATATATATATACATATATGTGTTTGTGTATATATTTCACCTCCTCCTTTCTTCCTCTTCTTTCCTTATCTCTTCCTCATCTCTTCCTTATTTCTTCTTCATCTCTTTCTTTATATTCACCAGTACTTTAATTAAGTCCTTTTTATTTTTTTTATTATTTAAATATTTCTTTTGTGACCCTGGTGAGGCAAAAGCTGGGACAGCTCCATACGATCAAAATGGTCGACGAAAAAAACAACAACAAGCACTTGCCCAGGTCGCTAAAATATGGGTCGGGATGATATCAGACTGAGAGACTCACTTAATGGATGTTCGGCTCTGGGAGAGTTACACTGTTTTCTGTCATCGCTTAGCGGCCAAGTGTCAGCCGACAACCACAGCATTTCACAGCTAGGTGATAACCCTTGCGCAACCCACTGTTCAAAATTTCGTTTTTTAACCAATTGCTGCAAAAACTTTTGAAAGGTTGGGCTTGAAAAAAAATTGTAACAAGTTTGATATTTTTTTATACTGGTAATAATTATTGCATTTAAACAAGAGATCCTGACTATTCTCAGTTATTGTTCATGGTTTCCTTTTTTTAGATTCATTTTAAATGGACATTCGCGTCTGTGTTTGAGGGAGTGTGGTTGAGACATGTGTTTAAGTGAGTGTGTGTGGGGCATGTGTTTGAGTGAGTGTGTGTGAGGCATGTGTCTTTGAGTGAGTGTGTTTGAGGCATGTGTTTAAGGGAGTGTGTGTGAGGCATGAGTTTAAGTGTGTGTTTGAGGCATGTGTTTAAGTTAGTGTGTTTGAGTCATGTGTTTAAGTGAGTATGTTTAAGGCATGTGTTTGATAAGACAAATAAGGATTTAATGAGTTGCGCACCGTCGGTTTGAGAAAATAGTTGTTGACAATGCAGAAAAAAAAATCACAAACGATTGCCCCCCCTCCCCCCACACATCTCCCGCCCCTTCCCCCCACGTCTCGGGACATCACAGTGGACCACATCGTGAGAAACCGTCCACAGCGTTGATCTCAGCGTGTCGCCGTAAGCATCCCGGGGGACAGGACAGGACCACAGTTGATAGGTTGTTGTCAGGTCACAAGACAAAGTCACTCATGCGTGACGGCGCCTTCCTTATACTGACGCCGACTGCATTCTCTCATTTGCGTTGTTGTTGTTGTTGTTGTTGTTGTTGTTGTTGTTGTTGTTGTTGTTGTTGTTGTTGTTGTTGTTGTTGTTGTTTTCCTTTATAATTTACAATCTTCTTTTCTCAACATCATTCTCAAATGCGGGATTAACCTGTAAGCTAAATAAGCTATAGCGTAGTGCTTCACAATCTGCCAGCTATATAAGCTACAGCTAAGGTCCTCACAATTGGCCAGCTATATAAGCTACAGTCCTCACAATTGGCCAGCTATGTGAGCTACAGCTAAGGTCCTCAGAATTGGCCAGCTATACAATCTCCGCCTGATAGTGTATGTGACAACGGAGTTATTTCTACGCGTATCATCGTAATCCCCCCCACCCCTTTTTTTAGGGGAGGCCTATCCCCACCCGCACCTCACTTCCGCATTTTCTCAATTCGAATAGACAATTAAGTATCTCAATAAATTCTAATATTCTTCTTCTTCTTCTATATCTTAAGGGCCCACGATCACTTTATTGATCATTTTTGCTCCTAACATCCCCCCCCAACCAAAAAAAAAAAAAAAAAATATTAAGGTAATAAGATCAACTTTAAAAAAAAAAAAAACATAATTATTAACAAAATTGCATGTTTGCGCAAAGGCGTACAGTTTTATTTTTTAAATGCCCTTGACATTGTGAGAATTTTTTTTTTATTTATTTAAATGGTTCAAAGCGGCAAGCTATTATCTGTAAACATAGTGGCATCCAAAGTGTTTAAAGTAAGAAATATTCTTTTTTTTTTAAATTTTAATCTCTTCAAAATTCCAAATACTCAGCTCAGTCAACACGGTAATTATTATTCCAAGTTAAAACAAAAAAAAAGAAAAAAGATTTGGTCAACAGAGGTCGAGGTATTCAAACCGTTAGACATTTATTTGAACAAGTTTGGTTTCCGGTGTCCAGATAATTTGATTGAATTACGTGCTGTGCCATTATTCTACTTTTGGTTGTACAGAATGATGGTCGTACCTTTCACCGAAGAGCCGCTCAAATGCTGTTATATTTATTTGTGTCAAACTTATTTTCTGTGAATAGTAATTGTTGTTTTTTTTTTGTTGTTGTTGTTTTTATAAACATTTTGCAATCAACAAGCTGTCCCTAGAATTTGCCTGTAACTACTGAGGTCGGCCCTGGCTGCAGTTACAGTGACCATTAATTCCCCTTTATACAATGATAAGCACTACCCCATTATACTCTGACCAGTAAGTATCATACTGTGAGTGAAGTTATAAAAGTGTTAAAGATCTTTGAACGTCCAACGTCCTTAAACACGGAGATCCCACCCAATGAACAATCGGTGTTACCAGGAATCAATGCATATCTCTATTAGATAGTTGAAATAGATCTTTCTTTTACGAAACGGTTGCAATAAAAAAAATAGATTTGATCCTAAAACGCAATTTAAACAGCTCCTAACAACAAAGTTTCTCGTTTAATCCATTGTAAAATCCAATATTGAGCAATTGGGGTGGGTGGGGCTCTTGACCTATAAAAAAATGCATACAAGTAACCCACTTCATAAGAATCCCAATTAGTGCACCCCCCTTCCCTCCCCCCCCCCACACCAAGGCTCGCAACTGGTCATTATTACCGCCCCTGAACGATATTAATATTCTAATGACCCTCCCGCTTTTACACCGCAAATTTATTTCATCAAATATTTGAGAAAAACAACAGAAAATATTAGCCACCAAACGCCACTTGATATGTTTTGTTTTCTTAGGACTCTTATTCAGCGCAGTTATCGGGAATTTGATTTCATCAAATCAGAGCCATCACATGTCCTTCATATTTCGCTTGAAAATAAGAAAAACTGATATTTTTGGGGGTTGGGGGGGGGTGGGTACAATTGTTTAAGAATTAGTTGTCATCGGCAACGAGTCTGTGTTCTACGTTTCATCTCGATAAGTTGACGGGAAGTGGGTCAATTAGCCGTCCGAATATTTTGTCAGCCTCGGAAAAGAAAAAAAAAAAGCGAAGTTAATATAAAGGATTGAAAAATAAATATTTGAAAGCCTTGCACTTTATGAACAAAAAAAAAAATGATTCTCAACACATTATCTTCGATTTTTTTTATTTGTTTATAAGAAATAAATCTATTTTTTCCTTATAAAAACCGCAAGAAAACAAACAAAGCCATGACTTAAAATAAAGATAAATGATTTTGACAAGCCCTTGAGATATGTTCGGCAATAAAACGCACTCGGCCGCTCATTGAATTATGCTAATTCTTTAAGACCAGCGGATATTTTCACCAGATAATCAAGACTTACGACCGCGTTAAAGTTTATTGTTTCAAACTACGACTGGGGGGGGGGGATTACCTCGGACTAATCACCACAGTAATCACCACAGTAATCACCACCTCAAAGATTTCAGTGAGGGACGTGTGTGGGTTTATCTCTGACGTACGCGGAAATGAGCCACAGATATTATGCTAATTCTTTAAGACACGCGGATATTTTCACCAGATAATCAAGACTTACGACCGCGTTAAAGTTTATTGTTTCAAACTACGACTGGGGGGGGGGGGATTACCTCGGACTAATCACCACAGTAATCACCACAGTAATCACCACCTCAAAGATTTCAGTGAGGGACGTGTGTGGGTTTATCTCTGACGTACGCGGAAATGAGCCACAGAGCGTTGACCACCTGTTTCTCCGTCTGATCCTATCTCTCCCCCCGCGTCAATCTTCAGACCCTGTCAGTGACAGTTTTTCCTGGTGTCAATGGATTATAAAAAGGGTTAGCTGTTCCAACAGCACGTTACCATTTCCACAGCTCAAGTCCTCCAAGCCGCCTGCAAGTACCTCCCTGTCTCTCTCTCCCACACCTGCCACCATGAAGTCCTGTGTCATCGTCGCTCTGTTTGTCGTTGCCGTCATGGCCGCTACCACTGAGGCTGGCTATGGTCAGGTAAGCCATTTTAAAAAAGCACATTTCTTATCATTGCCATTATCATTTCAGATTGTGACATCGGGTCTTGAAGAAAAACAATGAGTTATCTGTTCTTTTTTTTTTTCTTTTTTTTTTAAAGAATGTCAACAAAATCAGTAAATTAAAGTTGTAAAATTAATAATCAGTTTTAAATTACTCTCGAATACAGTCGAAATTCGTTTCAAAAAGAATCCAATCTTTTTTTTAAAAAGTCCTTAATTAGTTAATATAAAAACTGAATTTATACTTTAAACATCGTCTTCATTCGTTGGCGAAAACGTCGAGTTTTTTTTTGGGAGTGGGGGGGGGGGGGGGTGGGGACTTTACAAAATATTTGAAAAAGGGTTTCGGCATTTATTTAATTACTATAAAAAATAAGCAAAAAAAAAAGTTTAATTTCTATGAATACAAACGTCTACATTTAATTTTCCTCGCAAGAACAAGCCAAACTACGGCGGCCAACCTGGATACCAGCCAAACAACCCCGGGTACAACGGCAACCGTGGCAACGGCGGCTACAACGGAAACGCCCCCAACAGCGGCTACAACGGCAACGCCCGCAACAACAACGGTTACAATGGGAACGCCCCCAACAACGGTTACAATGGGAACGCCCCCAACAACGGTTACAACGGGAACGCCCCCAACAACGGTTACAATGGGAATGGAAACAAAGGCGGATACCCTAAATACGGCTGAGACATCTCCAGGTAGGTGCGCCTATGCGTCTCTGTGACAGTAGCTCCCTGTGGAAGTGTCAATTCGTTGAAACAGGAAGTCCTTTTTAAGTTGGCCTCATGTCAAGGTCAACAGATGAACCATTCACTATAATTCCAAATGGTTTACAAGGCTATTAAAAAGTCTGAATGATATCTGTAACAACATCTTTATAACAGGGCTTGTTACTTGCGATTAAGTTGCAGTGTCACTCTGAGGTAGTATTTTGCCGTATCTTTTCGCACTTTACAATCCTCCATGACATTTGACAGCACGAGGCGTTAGTAATTTAGCATCACGGATTTAATGACGATATAGAAAACACAGTGTGAAATACTATCTCTAGAAAATAGAGCAAACACAGTTGTCATATACCTTCTTCCACTTCACATTTTGTTATTCCACTCAGATCTGTTGAGTCAACATAAGGGTGTTGTTTGATACACAAGAGCCAATCATGAAAATACACAGTCTGCCATTTAAAAGTCGTCCACTTGCTTTTTCTTCGCATGACAGACAATATCTCATTAAATTCCTGTTCACCCTAACTTACGAAAAACAATACTTTATCCAAAAACAAATTATGATCTCAATATTTGATCCGTGACAATATCCTAGAAACCTTGGTAAGCAGCGTAAATTGCTTCAGTGAGTACACCGCTAGTTTTAAACGTAAATGTGCGTCGTTTCAACAGCTGTTTGTAAAGTTAAGATTTTCATGCAACAGTCAAACGATTCGAAGTCAAAGAAACCGTTTTTATTTGAGTCGCTTTTTGCTCGCCGCGTTACAATTATATAAATTGCTATAAATATCATACAAATAATTTTTTTTTAACTTTGAAAATCACTCCTCATTCCATTTTTTTTAAAAATAAATCTTAAAACATTCAATATTTGAGATAACTTTTTTTTTTTTTAAATTGATGTTATACATTGACGGTCACAGTAGTTTGATACATCAACACTAATGAATGGTGTACATGGAAATAATTGTTTTTATTGTCTTCTCCTCCACAGGTCACACTCCCACTTGGCTCAATTCAATGTTTTGAGTTAAATGTCTAAATATATTTGAAATCTAATAAACAAAATGGATATTTTAAGTCATCGGTTTGTTGTAACTTGTTTTGGACTTTAAATTTCGTTGTAATAGAAATATCATTAAATTTGTTATGATTTTGTTATATTTAAATTCTTAGATTTTGTGTAGATATTATTGATAATATTTTAGACTTACAACTTTTAACGCCTGTTCAGTCGTCAAGCGACTGAGACTCCCTGAAGCGAGGCTCTCGGGAAAATTTTCAACTGTGTTTCAAATAGAAAAAAAACCAACTGAACACTGTGAACCAATACATAGACCCAATCGAGATCATTTGGTTTGTTGATCGCTGACCAGCTCGAGTATCCTGTAACGCTTTCCAAAGAATGTTACATCAATACAGAGTCTCAATGAGCCGCAGTCTGGCAGGTAATTTTGATAAGGGTTTGAACCGTCTGCCAAACATCGACCCTGAAACCATGCCAGACAACAGTCAGTTTGTTATATATATATATACATGTTTATATATATATATATATATATATATATATAAATAAATATATATATATATATATATATATATATATATATATATTTTATATATATATATATATATATATATAGATATATATATATATATATATATATATTTATATATATATATATATATATATATATATATATAAATATATATATATATATATATATATATATATATATATTTTATATATATACATACATACATACATTGATACATATCTATCTATATGTGCATACATTGCTAAGGAAAATGTCCTTCGACGGTTGATCTTGTTTTGTTTTTGAAATAAAGCTCAGCTCTATGTAATACAAGCCCCATATTCCCACACAAAAATCTATGCAATATCAACTCAAATTACCACACAAAAATTTATGTCATATCAACCCAAATTACCACAAAACAATCTATATAATATCAACCCAAATTACCACACAACAATCTATATAATGTCAACCCAAATTACCACACAACAATCTATATAATATCAACCCAAATTAACACAAAACAATCTATATAATATCAACCCAAATTAACACAAAACAATCTATATAATATCAACCCAAATTACCACACAACAATCTATATAATATCAACCCAAATTAACACAAAACAATCTATATAATATTAACCCAAATTAACACAAAACAATCTATATAATATCAACCCAAATTACCACACTACAATATGTAATATCAACCCAAATTACCATACAAAAATGTATGTAATATCAACCCAAATTAACACACAACAATCTATATAATATCAACCCAAATTACCACAAAACGATCTATATAATATCAACCCAAATTACCACACAACAATATGTAATATCAACCCAAATTAACATACAAAAAGCTATGTAATATCAACCCAAATTACCATACACCAATCTATGTAACATCAAGCAAAATTACCACACAAAAATCTATGTCATCTTACCCCAAAATGCCACACAAAACTATGTGTATTATGACCTCAATCCCCACACACAACTATTTGTAATATTACCCCAATCCTTTCACACAACGATGTGTAATATTACCCAAATCCTTTCACACAACTATGTGTAATATTACCCCAATCCTTTCACACAACCATGGGCGCCCGCAGGAAACTTTCTAGGGGTTGGGGCAAAAAAATCGATTAACTTTCCAGGGGGGGGGGGGGGGGGCGAAAAAATTTTTGTAATGTTTTAATTTACTGTAGCGTATTTGTATGGTGAACGAACG